GTCTGTCGAATGCCTCTTGCAGCCATTTTGGAGCTGTCTTGGGGCCCCTCTGGGAGCCTTTGACGCCCTCTTGGGACCCTTTCGGGTGCGCTCTTGGGCGCTCTTGGGGCATTGTTGAGGCACCTCGCGGCCCTTCTTGGGGCGCTCTTGAGCGATCTTGGAGACATCTTGCGACCTCAGGCGCCCATCGGAATCGACACTTCGAGGAAGCAACACAACTTGAAGTATTCCAAGTCCTTCGGTAGCTCTGTGGCTACATGGAGCCGTCTTAGTTAGGCTTCTCGGAAGCATGTTGATAAACATTTTGAGCCATCTTGTGCTGTTTTGAAGGCCATCTGGACTAGCTAAGGCCATCTTGGAGCTCTGTTGGGCAATCTCGGACGCTCAGACCCCTCGCGATGGGGCAGTCGTGGGGGGCTTCCAGGGCAAGAATTTCCTGTCACATTGCGGGCGGACCCCTTAGTCGACCGGTGCCCTGGAGTCGGGCGTATCACGGTCTGCGGAGCGGCACAGAGTGCACCCAAGCCGGTCCAAGACGATCAGACACGACAGGACGAACCAAGAAAAGACAGGACAAGACATGACAGAACGAGGCAAGCCACGGCCAGACATGCCAGAACAGCGTCCAAGTTGGACAAGCATGGCCCCATCATCTGCCCCAAACGTTCCAAGAGGGCCCACGACGATCCCAAGACGCCAAGAAAGCACAACAGCGTCCCCAAGGGCCCAGCACAAAAAAAAGGCACGGTGCGTTTCCGCATCCCAGGCGCCCAACACGGCCGCAGGCGCTCCAAAGGCCGCTCCCGGGCGGCCCAGCAGAGCCCCCAGCGGGCCCGAAGGCGGCCCCAGGGCGGCACGAGAGGAATCGAAGACCACCCTTCAGTCGGGCCTGTCCCTCTACAGGAGGAATATTCGAAAATAGTCAGAAAATAGTCTGGGGACGTTTTTTTTTTTTGTGTGTGTGTGTGTGTGTGTGTTTTTTTGAACAGAGTGTTTCGTCCAACATCCGCCTGTAGGAGGACGCGCCCGACCTGAGACTACCCCAAGAAAGCCCCCAAGACAGCTTCAGAGGGTTCCGAGAGGCTTAAGGTCGCGGCCGGGCCAGCAGGCTTCGCAACGCGGGTGTGGGGGTGGGAGGCTTCGGCACGGGGTATGGGGAGAGGGTCGACCCCTTGTCGGCAGGGACAGATGCACAGGGTGGAATAGCGAACTCTGGAGACCACCTGCGCTCAGGAGGTCTGGTGGGATTATGGATGAAACGAGGGAGCATTGTGTAACGATGAGGGGTTGAGGGGTATGATCTGATGATGATGGTGGACGGTGGTGGTGACGGTGGTTGTGATGGTGATGATGTTGATGCTGATGACGGTGATGATGGTGGTAGTGACGACGAGGACAACGACGACGAGGACGAAGATAACGATGACGATGATGATAACGTTGACGATGACGATGGCGATGATGATCATGGTGATGATGATGGTGATGATGATGGTGGTGACGACGCTGCGGCTGCTGCTCATGACGATGATGATTATGAGTATGACGGTGCTGCTGCTGATGATGACGATGACGATGACGATGACGTTTACGATACTGGTGTTGATGCCAATGCTGCTGCTGCTGAAGATGATGACGATGAGGACGCTAGCGATGATGGTGATGTGATGATGGTGATGGTGATGGTGATGGTGATGGTCGCTAGAGATGGTAATGGTCCATGGTGATGATGCTGCTGATGACGATGAATATTATGCCAAGGCGCATTATGCTGCTGATGACGAAAGCGACAGTCATCATGCTGATGGCGATGATTGCGCTGCTGGTGATAATGATGACGATGACGTTGCTGCTGATGATGATGCTGAAGATGAAGATGAAGATGAAGATGAAGATGATGCTGTTGCTGATGCTGATGATGATGACGATGATGATATGATGCTGATGATGCTGATGATGCTGACGATTCTGATGATGGTGATGATGATGAAGATGCTGATGCTGATGCTGATGCTGATGCTGCTACTGATGATGATTACAGTGACGATGACGATGACGATGCTGATGATGATGATTATCATGATGATGATGATGATGATGATGATGATGATGATGATGATGATGATGATGATGATGATGATGATGATGATGATGATGATGATGATGATTCGTATGGTGATTGTGGTGGTGAAGATGCTGATGCTGATGCTGAGGATGATGGTGGTGATGGTGAGCATGAGGATGATGGTTGTGATGTAAATGGAACCAGTTGGAATTCTGATTCTGATGACGATGACGATGGCAAGTCTGTTGATGAGTAAGGCGATGTCGGTCATGGCCATTTCCATGGTGATGGTACGGACGACTACGAGCGTGATGATGCGGATGCTGTTTGTGTCTTAGACCGTACTTATGGTGATGATGTTGTTGCGTATGATTGCGATGACTATGATGAAAATCATGAGTGCGGCTCCATCAATACTGCTGCTGATGGTGACGACGATGATGATCACGACTATGACGATCGTGATGGCGATGATGATGAGATTGAGGATGAGGGCTATGATACTTGTGATGATGGCGTTGACGATGATGGTGATGCTGAGAATGATGATGCTGATGATGATGAAGAAGATGCTGATGCTGCTGCTGACGATGATAATGATGATTCGTATGATGATTGTGGTGATGAAGATGCTGATGCTGATGCTGAGGATGATGGTGGTGATGGTGAGCATGAGGATGATGGTGGTGATGTAAATGGAACCAGTTTGAATTCGGATTATCATGATGACGATGGCGATGGCAAGTCTGTTGATGAGTAAATTGATGTCTGTCATGGCCATGGCCATGGTGATGGTACGGACGATTACGAGCGGGATGATGCGGATGCTGTTTGTGTCTTAGACGGTACTTATGGTGATGATGTTGTTGCGTATGACGGCGATGACCATGATAAATCCTAAGTGCGGCTACGAAAGTTCTGCTGCTGATGGTGACGACGAGGGTGATTACGATTCTTACGACTGTGATGGCGATGCTGATGAGGTTGAGGACGAGGGCTATGATACTTATGATAATGGTGATGACGAGGATGATGACGGCGATTATGATGATTCTGGCCATGATGATGGTGATGCCAATGATGATGGTGTCGATGAGGAAGGCGATGATGGTGATGGTGATGCATACGACGTCGTTGAGTAGGATGTTGCTGCTGTTGTTGTTGCTGATGTTGCGGATGAAAATGACAAGCCTGATGATCAAGATGATGGTCTTGATGACACTGATGGTGCTACTGATGGGGACGATTGTGATACTTCTGATTATGCTGATGCTGATGCTGCCGACAATGGTGACGACGGTTACGATGCCATTTACGATATTGGTGATGCTGGTAGCGGTGTTGGTGGTGACTTAGATGAGGATCATGATGCACATGATGAGGCGGACGAGGGTGACGATGATGGTAATGAGGATGATAACGAGAATGAGGTTGTGGTTGTTGATGATGGTGATGGTGATGGTGATGGTGATGGCGATGGCGATGATGATGATGATGATGATGATGATGATGATGATGATGATGATGATGATGATGATGATGATGATGATAATGATGATGATGCTTATTCTGTTGATGCTGATGATGCTGCTGCTGCTTATGATGATGATGATGATGATGCTGATGATGATGATGATGATGATGATGATGATGAGGAGGAGGAGGAGGAGGAGGAGGAGGAGGGGAGGAGGAGGAGGAGGAGGAGGAGGAGGAGGAGCAGAAAGAGAAGGCGCATGATGATCATGATTACCCGGATGATGAGGAGGATGGGCCCCAGCTCCAGCCCCGGCCCCGGGCTCTGGCTCCCGGCGCCGGTTCCGGCCAGTCCCGGCTCTGGCCCCGGCCCCCGCCCCGGCCCCAGCCCCGGCCCCTGCAGCTCCCGGTCCCGGTCCCGGTCCCGGCGGCTGGCCGGCCCCAACTCGCGGCCCCCGACCCCGTCCCGGCCCTGGCCCCTGGCCCCATGCAGTCCCGGCCCTGGCCCCGGCTCCGGCCCCGGCCCCGGCCCCCGCCCTGGCCGCGGCCCCGGCTCCCGGCTCTGGCTCTGGCCCCGGCCCCAGCCCCGGCCCTGGCCCTGCCCCTGGCCCTGGCTTTGGGCCGAGCGGGTTGTGGTCGGAGGAGAGTGAGCCAGGTCACACACGGGGGCGAGAAGACCATCGCGCTTCGCTGTCTGGGCTGCACATCTTCACGGTGGCCGAGCGAGAGTTCGACGTCGATGGCGCTTCGCGCGGCGCGGAGCTCGACGCGCGATGCGAGGTAGCCTGTGGGAGGATGCATGCTCGGCGCGAGGTTTGGCAGCTGATTTGCGTGTTCTGCCTCCTCGTCCTCCTCCGCCTCCATCTCCTCTTCCTCTTCCGCCTCCTCCTCCTACTCCTCCTCCCTCCTCTTCCTCCAACACCCCTCATCCGCCCGTTCCGACAGCACGTGCCCCCCCCACCCCCGTGGGTCTGAGGGGGGTGGGGGGTGGGGGTGCGGATCATGTCCCATAAAGAGCAGGGAGGATTCCGCTGCGAGGTGTGGCAGCTGATTGTCGTGTTCTGCCTCTTCCTCGCGCCTTCGTTCGTGTCCTTCGTGGCCACGGTGCGGATCAAGAGCGCGCTAGTGGCATTGGACGAGCAAGGGACGGTTCAGGCCTCCTCCTGGGGGAGGGAGGGGAGGGGAGGGGAGGGAGGGAGGAAGGGAGGGAGGAAAAGGAGCAGGAGGAGGAGGAGGACCACGATGAGGGGGAGGAGGATGGGCAGGAGGAGGGAGGACTTCTTCACGCTTCGCGTATCCACCTGCCCCTGCCTGCTCGGCGTCCAACCCGCTTCTTGCGCCTGCGTACCAACAAGTATCCCCACCAGCTCGTCCAGAACGCTTGCCCCTGAGAGCTGACGGGAAAAGGGACGATAAGACACATCTAGTGAAACAACGCGGGCAACCAGGATGACCAGAGAGATCTCTGGGAGCAAGGGTATAGCCTTGGAGGGCCTCTTCGGGCCACCCCTGGGGCCCACGGGGGGGCGAGGCAAGGATGATGAGGATGAGGATGAGGATGAGGATGAAGAGTAGGACGATGATGATGCTGCTGATGATGCTGATGCTGATGCTGATGATGATGCTGATGATGATGATGATGATGATGATGCTGATGCTGATGCTGATGCTGATGATGGTACTGACGATGATGATAAGGTTGCGGCTGCTGATTATGCTGCTGATGATGCTGCTTATGCTGATGATGAGGATATTGATGCTGCTGCTGATGACGATGATGCTGATGCGGCTGCTGATGATGCTAATGCTGATCGTGATGATGATGATGATGCTGACGATGCTGATGGTGATGATGATGCTGCTGCTGATGATGATGCTGATGCTGATACTGATGCTGCTGCTGATGATGCTGCTGATGATGATGCTGATGACGATGATGATGATGATGATGCTGCTGATGATGACGATGATGCTGCTGATGCTGCTGCTGATGATGACGATGCTGATGTTGATGATGATGATGATGCTGCTGCTGCTGATGCTGATGATGCTGCTGCTGCTGCTGATGATGATGATGATGATGATGATGATGATGATGTTGTTGATGATGATGATGATGATGATGATGATGATGATTATGATGATGATGATGATGATGATGATGATGCTGATGATGATGCTGATGCTGATGATGATGCTGATGCTGATGCTGATGCTGTTGATGCTGATGATGATGTTGCTGCTGCTGCTGATGATGATGATGCTGCTGATGCTGATGATGATGCTGCTGCTGCTGCTGATGATGATGATGATGATGATGATGATGATGATGATGATGATGATGAGGGGGCGAAGGGGGAGAAGGAGAAGGAGAAGGAGGAGAAGGAGGAGGAGGAGGAGGCACACCGCCTCTTGGGACACTCGTGGGACGCTCTTGGGGCCCAAAAACACTGGAGAGATCTTTCCGCTATTGGGATGCTGAAGGTTGAGGGCTCGAGCTGAACGCGAGGCCGCTTCCTTGTCTGGGGGGCTCAGTTGCACTCTGCTCTCAGGCCTGTTCCGCGCTCCGTATAGGAGCCACATCTCTTGCATATAATTAGCGTGCTCGAGATGTCTATGTATTCGGCCAACGCAGGTTGTGTCCTCTGGGATTCCCCGCGAGAGCGGCCATAGCTTTACAGTACCCCCCGGGGTATCTTTCATTGACTCTGGCTATCTGGTGGCTGGCTGTCCTGGCCCTCACACGGCAGGCAGTGCACATCCAGTAGCCTCTGACATATTTCCAGTTGTGGACCGCCTCCGAATTTCCCTCCACGGTCCTCAGGATATCCGAAGGAGAGGGGATCGGAGGCGGAGGCATAGGAGGACGGTCTCCAGGGTTCCACACATTGGGAGCAGAAGCGGCCCCTTCTGGCAGGATTAGTGCTGGTTGGTTGGCTCATTTCCTTCTTACTTTTCTTAGGTGCAATGGCTGGTCAGCTCTGTAGGATAGTAGCTAGATGCCGCAGGAATCTGCGCAACAGGCTAGAATCATATCTGTGAGACTCGAGCTCGGCTTCGCTGGGCCTGCAACAAGTTTTGGCAGCCTGCTCGGCTGTTTTGTCAGCCTCGAGGCTTCGGGCGAGCCGTCTGTCCTGAGGGCTCTCAAATTGCCCTTGTGGGTATTGATGCGCCTTGACTTTGATCAGGGCCGAACCAGGGTCGCAAGAGCACATTGGAGGTAATGGGGGGTCTCACAGCAAGCAGCACTGGCAGCAAGGTGCTCGGCAATTCCAGACGTTTGGTTCACCAGATCCTACTTTGCCTTTGGTAGTGGCGAAGACGTCGTCGCCCCTCATGGCCACGACCTTTTCGTCACGTTTTTGCGAGTCTAAGAAGTCCGCGCGGACCACAGAAAGTTTATGTTCATGTTGATATTTCTTCTTCTTCTTCGTCTTCTGCTTACGGCTGAATGAGTGCTCCGAAGAAGCCCTGGCATGGGAATGGCCCTCACAGAGGGGGCTCTCACGGGGGGGATCCCCTTACAGGGACGGCGTGCTTTCCGAAGGCCGCTGTGGCGCGCTGTCCCTGCGGCGCCCACCGCGGGCGCGCTTACCCAGAGGGCCTTTTGGATGCGCGGTGCTCATGCCGCGGGTGGCCGTTCCCGTGCTCCCGCGGTGCGGGGGACCGCGCGCCTTCCTCTCGGCGGCGGGAGGCCCCCTCGGAGCTCGAGCGTCGGCCGCGCGGCCAGCGCCGCTTGTCTGGGCGAGCCTCGGTGGACTTCGTGAGCTCATGCCTCCACTTCCCCCCCTTCCCGCTCCCCCGTTTCGGCGCCCAGGGTCTGACGACGGGCGTGGGCAAGGGCGCCGCGGTGGCCGGCATCATGTTCTTCGGCTGGCTGCTGCACGCCTCGACCGAGGGCGGCAAGGACTCGTCGGGTGTGCGGGCACCCTCGGAACGGGGGTCAACCCCGACGGGGGTCAGCCATCGAGGACCAAAACATGACATCAGCAGAAGCTTTCTGAGGTCCGCGCGGATTTCTTCGATCGGCGCTGGAGCCCCTGGGCGGCGCCTCTGGCGCTGCCCTTGGCGCGCTCCGCGCGCCAGCGAGGAGGGTCCTGCGCCGATCCAAGGAACCAACGCGAACCTCCGAAGGTTTGTGCTTATGAATCTTTTTGTGCCTCGAAGCTGGTCCACCCTGATTGCCTGTGTCACGTGAAGCCGGCCACCCCCCCTTGCGCTGTCGCGGGCTTGGGAGGTACGGGCGGGGCTAGGACGGAGATAGAAGCGTTCCGGAACGCTCTCAGAGCGCTCTGAGGGCTCTGAGAAGGGCGCCGTGCCCCATACGTATTCCAGTACCGCCGGATCTCAGAGATCCCCGATCTACCCCTGTCCGATTTCGTCCCTGTCCTGGCTTTGTCCGTGGTGGCCCGCCTGGGTTCGCCACGTGGCCCGGGAGGACCCGGGCTGGCCCTGGCCCAGCTCATCTCGGCCCGTCCGCGGAGTCTTCCAGGCGTCGCGGAAGGGTCACGGCGGGCGTTTTTGTGGTGTTCTCGCGATCGCGGCCTGCAGGGCAAGGGCGATCTGCGACGGACCTATCTGGCCGGCAGGCCTGGGGGCTCCCACGTGAGGAGCGAGCCCCACTGTGTGTCTTTCGGACGTCCGGGCCCCGAGGCGCGGCGTAGACTAGAGGAGGGGGAGGAGGAGGATGAGGAGGAGGAGGAGAAGGAGGGGGGGAGGGGGAGGGGGAGGGGGAGGAAGAGGAGGAGGAGGAGGAGGAGGAGGAGGAGGAGGAGGAGGAGGAGGAGGAGGAGGAGGAGGAGGAGGGGAGGAGGATGGTGCGAAGGGTGGGGGGATTCTTCGGCCAGACCCCGTGATGGTTTCCCGGGCGTGCATACAGCGTCAGGGTCTGCTGCCCCGCTCTCGGAGTCGTTTCAGTGAGCCGCCCTCCGCTTTCGTGCTCACGCGCTTTCGTGCTCCTCTGTTTTCCTGCTCCTCTGCTGTCCTGCTCTCCTGCTCCTGCTCTTGCCTCTACGCCTGCTTCTTCCCTATCCCAAGGTGTGGCTTCCGATTCCAGAAACAGCGCTTGCATTAGGGCGTCCTATTTCGGTTAGGACTTGTGCTCGCGTGCTGCTCTGGCGGCTATGTTGCCGCGACCGCCGCCGCCCCGTTGCCGCCTCGTCGCTGCCTCGTCGCCGTCCGTCGTCTGGGCCAGTGTGCCGCTCTGGCGGCTATGTTGCCGCCGTCGCCGCCCCGTCGCCGCCTCGTCGCCGCCCGTCGTCCGGGCCCCAATGTCGGTCGCCGCGCTTGTTGCCGCCGTCGCCGCCCCGTCGCCGCCTCGTCGCCGCTCGTCGTCTGGGCTTGTCTGTCTGTCGCCGCGCTTGTTGCCGCCGTCGCCACCTTGTCGCCGCCACACATAGGTTGCCTTCATATACTGCACAACATAGATTGCACAACGCTGGTTTCACCGCATATATTGCACCACACAGATTGCGCATCACATAGATCGCACAACATCTATTGCAACACATTTGTTGCACAGCCCACAGCATGTATTGCAACACCCTTATAGCACCACATAGAGTGCACCATATATATTGCACCACGGAGTTTGCACAACATAAATGGTACACCAGATCTCGCACAACCTAGCTTGCATCACATATATTGCACCACGTAGATACCCCCCGGATGTCTTCCATAACATATATTGGACCTCGTAGACCGCAACACGTATATTGCACAACATAGATTGCACACCATGCATTGCACAACATCTATTCCCTGTCCCATAAATACCGTAGGACCTAGCACCCCCGTGGGGCCAGGATTGTCGGTCCACCCTGTGCGCATGATGGATTGCACACGATACACTGCATACACATATATTGGTCCACATGTATTGCACACAATGTATTGCACCAATTATCCTTTTGAATACTCAGATGGGCAAAATCTCTGAAGGCCCCGCAGATCACTAATCTCTCTTCTGCTCCCCTGAGAGCTCGCGCATCCTGTCGCCCTTCAGAGACTTCAGCAGGCCGAAACGCAGAAAAACTTCGCAGTGAAAAACCACAACGTCGTAGTTCTAGGCCGTCACTCATCACCGTTCCTCCTGCCATCGTCCGCGTTGCCCTCCCTGCTGCCCCCCGCCCATACCCTTCTCTTGCGCTCCCCGAGCCCGCCTGCTGCGACGAGCTGCTTGCGGCGGCTCCCAGCATCGTTCACCACACTTCCCCTCCCTCCCTCGCTCTTCCTCTTCTTCCCTTCCTTCAATCTTCTCCGCGCCCCGCGGGCTCCTTCCGCGCCAGACTAACCGAGTGGATCAAGGATTCAACGGCGCAGCGTTACACGCTGGTGAGCGTTTGTGTATATGTATTGTACCTTTAGCTTGCACAGCCTATACGGCACACCAGATTCTGCATAACATGTGTTGCAACTCAGTGGTTGCTCCACATAGATTGCACCATATCGATCACACCACATCGAGTGCACGACATCGACTGCACATCGTATATTGCACAACATCTATTATCTTCTCCATAACGGAAAGTAAGATCTACCGCCCCCCCACGGCCACGACTGTCGGTCCACCCTGTGGATGTCGAGTTTACACTTGTCCCAGCCAAGCTGCGACCCCCCACTATACCTTGCAAATCGTACTATTTGCGAATGTTCGGTTACGAACCATCAACAATCCATTGCAACAGATAGTACGAAGCGCGCACGCGCGCGTCGTTCATACAAACGCACATGGTATCGCATCATTTTTTTTTTTTTGTTTTTTTTCAAAAAATGTCTGCGCGCGCGCTCTTGCGAATTCTTAAGAAAACCCGTGGTTTGTCAGCACTTTCATCAAATGCTGCCAAACGAGCCTCCTCGCGCGCGCATGTTGAAATCATTCGGACGTTTGTGCCCGTGCTGGGCGGGTCACGATCCCCGTCAAATTTTACCATGCGGGTCAGTCGCGGGCGTCGGCCTCGCGTGCCCGTCGACGTCATCCCAAAACCTTCATCACCGGCACGTGGGCACCATTATCGTCATCGGCGTGATCAGCTTGGCGCCGTCAACGGCTTTTCCGTCGTAGTTGTCGTCGTCGTCGCCCGCATTTCTATCATCATCATCGTTTGTGGCGTTGTCGACGTCGCCATGATACCGCGCCTGCCCGGGTCACCGAGTCGCCCTGAAGGGCTCGGGCGTCAGCGCGGCCAGCGAGCGGTCAGCGTAACCTCGGGTGCGTCGGTCGCGCCAGGCTAGCTGGCCGCTTTGCGCGCGAGCCTGCGCGCACTAGCGCGGCCGCAGCGATGCGCCAGCCAGTGCAGAGCAGTCATCGCAATCGCCGCCGCATGGGATTTACAATCCAATCTGCGGGTGGTTGGGTGGGATGATTGTGCGAACTTTGGAGTCAGTTTCAGGTTTGGCAGGGTGAATTGCACCACGTCGATTCCTCTTTCTCAGAGAATATTTGGATCTGCCTCCCCCCATCGGACCTAACGCGTGGCACCGCCGTGTTGCAATTCACATACGATTCTGCCAAATCGACCATCCGCAATGCGAATTCTCACCATGCCAGGCAAACACTGCCGCCTGCCCATCTTTTGCAACAATGCAATGCGCACGCTCGTTTACTATTTGTTTGTCTGAAGAACCCCTGGCAACATATGAGACGACGTGCACGCGCGCGCGTTGTCGCGCGCGCTTGCCTAAAGCCTCTAACAATCTGAATTGGTCGATGTCAACACCAGGTGCCCCGCAAACATAAAAAACATCACTGGTGTCGCAACAGTAGTTTTCAAACAAAAACATGTGCGCTCGCTCTTGTTAATTATTTAGGTAACCATCGGTAATTCAGCATGTTCATGCAAATCGGCCACATTGTTTTTTTCGCGCGCGCATGTCGAAATCGTTCGAACGCTCTTGCGCGCGAGCTGTCGCAATAATCACTTGCAACACATTGGGCGGCGTGCGCACGCGCGAAACGTCGCGCGCGCGTGCCGAAATCGTTCGGCATCCTTGGGATTCGTACGGGTTTCATCATCGAATCTCGATATCATACAACATCTGGTTTTGCACCGTCAGGCTGAACGCCCTTGCGCGCGTCCTGTCGCAATGATCCCTGCAAAGGTGTGACGGCGCTCGCGCGCGCGCGTGGACATGCGCATGCCCAATCTCGACGATGCGCAGCGGCTGGAGGCATCCCGAGGTTGCGAAACCGCCGAGAAACCAACGAACACTGCCCAAAACCTTGAATCTTGAACGTCGAACGTTCCCCCTCCTCCCTCGGAAGGACCTGGAGGGGGGCATGTTCCCGCCGTTTTTCGCCATGGCCGGGGTGGAGGGCCTGGCCCTGCTGCTGGCGAGCACCTTGCCGCTTCTGGTGCCGTCGTGCGACGGCGTGAAGGGGACGCCCAGCCAGGAGAGGAGGGAGGACGTCGAAGACGTCAAGACAAACGACAACGAACGTCGAAGCGCAGGGGAGTAGTATCGATAATTTGGCCTTTCGAACCACCCTGGGCGGACCCTGGGGCGATTGATACATTCTTCCCTTTTTCCTAGCCGCATCTGGTCAGAGGAAGACACGGTACCGATACCCCTACCCTACCCTACCCTCGTCTTCACGGCTGGATTGACATCGAAACCCAAGTCAGAACGCACCCCAGGAGAGGGCCGTGGACTAGCGGGAGGGGTTGGGCGGGGAAGAGGACGAGGAGCAGCAGGAGGAGGAGGAGGAGGAGGAGGAGTAGGAGTAGTAGTAGTAGTAGTAGTAGTAGGAGGAGGAGGAGGAGGAGGAGGAGGAGGAGGAGGAGGAGGAGGAGGACGGGGGAGGGAGAAGGATGAGGATGAGGACGGGGATGATGATGATGATGATGATGATGATGATGATGATGATGATGATGATGATGATGATGGTGGTGGTGATGCTGATGAGTGAGATTATGCTGATGATGCTGACGATGATGCTGATGTTGTTGATGGTGATGATGCTGATGATTATAATTATGATGATGCTGCTGCTGATGATGATGGTGCTGATCATGATGATGATGATGCTTATGATGATGATGCTGATGCTGCTGATGATGATGCTTATGCTGATGCTGATGCTGCTGCTGCTGCTGCTGCTTCTGCTGATGATGATGATGCTGATCATGATGCTGATGCTGATGCTGCTGCTACTTCTGATTATGATGATGATTCTGCTCATGATGATGATGATGCTGATGAGGATGATGAGGGAGATGATGCTGATGATGATGATGCTGATGATGCTGATGATGATGATGATGATGCTGATGATGATGATGCTGATGATGATGATGATGATGATGATGATGATGATGATGATGATGATGATGATGATGATGATGATGATGATGATGATGATGATGATGATGATGATGATGATGATGATGATGATGATGATGATGGTGATGGTGATGATGATGATGATGCTGCTGGGACCCCTTCCAACTTGCTGGCGAGGGACCTCTCAGGAGATTTCCATGGGCCTTCTCTTAAGGGAAGGAGGAGGATGTACGGAGGAGGACAAGTGTAAACCTAAGACGTATTATCGATGTTGAAGTAATCCTTCCTTCCAAGTTTCTAGTTCATATGGCAGGGCAAGAATTTAGGGTCATTGTGGGAAGTGCCCCATGAGAAGACAACCGTATGAGAATCCCCAACCGTGCAAACACATCATTCGTGGGACTTCAGCGCTGCCAATCACCGTGACTGTTGCGTCCTGGCGCTCCTACATCGTACCAGAAACTATGTCTGGGACTTCAACACGGCGAATCAACGTGACTGTACCGTCTTGACAATCCCAGATCGTACCATAACCCCATTCTTGGGATTCCAATCTGTGAAACTGCTACAATCTTGCAAGACGAATGCGCGCAGCGCTAAGGCGAAAGCGATGTTTTGAAAAGGAGCCGACCTCATTCTTTGAAGCTGTCACAATCGTTTCAGACGAATGTGCATGGCGGTAAGGCGAGAGCAACATATATTGAAAATGAGCGGCCTACATCAGTGACGCTGTTGCAAATTCCAAGCCTCGGGATCGTAAGCGGTGAGGAGGTCTCAGGCGAAACGCCCGGCCTGTCTGGGTGCGACAGAAAAGGGATGGAGGAGGAGGAGGAGTGCCATGAGCGTGAGCGAAGGGAGGAGGAGGAGGAGGAGGAGGAGGAAGATAACCACAGTGAACCCAAGATGCCTTTACGATGCTGCATTACACCCTCCAGTCCAAGTTATCTTCTCCTAAGTTCCTACACACAGCCTTTTCATTACGGGAAGCGCGTTGTGCGCGCCCTTCATTCAGGTGAGAGCCCCGTTTTCAACTGCAATTTCCCTGCATACTTCAAGCTACGCATGGTGAGCGCAAAGTTGTAGGGCCATACCATTCAATGAGTATTTCAATCATCGCCCAGTTTCGAGAAAGGGCCGCCTCCTAACCGTGCGACTGATGAACTCGTAAGCACTTCCTGCCACACGTTACCATGAAATCTTATGCGAGAACACCGTTCCGAACATGAGCCACCATCCACCCGTGGAGCTGCTGTGCAGCTTTCCATTCCGGTTGTGCTTGGTAAGGGGCCTCAAGCGACAACTCTGGTGTGAGCAGGTCCCCATGCATTCTCTGATCTACTGGAAGTTGCTCAGGCGGCTGGGCTCGGCGCTACATCGAGAGCCATTCCGTGTAGACCACCCGCCCTCCATCTTTGCATCCGCTGGAAGCTTCAAGATTCATGTGCACGGCGCTCGGGCAAGAGTCACACTTCGAAGACCATTCGCCCTTCACCCTGGCAACTGTGGGAAGTTTGAGGCGAAAGTGTGCGGCACTAATGCGGGAGGCACGTTCGACCTGTGGTCGCCCTCCATCCGTGTCGCGCGTGTGCGCTTTTACGACGAATGTGCGCGGTGCTCGAGCGGGAGCCACCTTTTGAAAGGCATTCGCCCTCCATCCTTTTAGAGGTTGGAGCCGCCTAAGGCACATGAGCCCAGATCCATATTTTTGAAACGCCCTCCCTCCTTCCCTCCTTGTGCCTTGTGGGCACTTTCGTTTCAATCTGATAGTCGGTGAGGAAGTCTTAGGCGAACCGCCTGGTCCTTCCCAACGATGTGTTTGATGGTGCGATCAGGATGGGTAATCTAATTGGAAGGGGGATTGGGAACGAGGGAGGAGGATGAGGAGGAGGAGTCAGAGTCAGAGTCAGAGTCAGAGTCAGAGTCAGAGTCAGAGTCAGAGTCAGAGTCAGAGTCAGAGTCAGAAGAGGAGGAATAAGAGGAGGAAGAGGAGGAGGAGGAAGAGGAGGATGAGGAGGAGGAGGAGGAGGGGGGGGAGGATGAGGACGAGGACGCTCTTGGATCGGAATTCTAGGTTTTCGTTTTTTACTGGGCCCCGAGAGGCCTCTGGAGTCCTCTGAGGACTTCAGGAGCAGGATGGATGGGGAGCAGGAGTAGGAGGAGGAGGCGGAGGAGGGGGAGGATGAGGGGAACGGGGGAGGACGGAGATGATGAGAGCCGGGAGGGGAAGGGTGAGGTTGAGGAGGAGGAGGAAGCGGAGGCGGAGGACGCGCAGTAGCAGGGAACGGCGGTGGCTGAGACGGAGGTAGAGGACGAGGAGTAGGAGGAGGAGGAGGAGCTTGATGATGATGATGATGATGATGATGATGATGCTGATGCTGATGCTGATGATGAGGCTGATGATGATGCTGATGCTGATGCTGATGCTGCTGATGATGTTGATGCTGACGATGATGATGATGATGATGATGATGATGATGATGATGATGATGATGATGATGATGATGATGATGATGATGATGATGATGATGCCGCTGGTGATGATGCTGATGACGACGATGATGATGCTGCTGCTGATGAGTTGATGCTGTTGGTTTTGATGATGATGCTGTTGCTGATTAGGATGATGCCGATGAACCTGATGCGACTGATGATGATACTGATGTTATTTGTGAGGATTGTGTATTGGGGTCATACTGCTGATGGTCAAGCTGGTGGTACTGTTGCTGATGCTGATGTTGGCGATGCTGCTGACGATGATGCTGCTGCTGCTGATGCTGATGCTGATGATGATGATGGTGGTGATGATGCTGATGCTGGTGATTCTGATACTGATATTGATGCTGGCTTGTATGACAATGATGGTGCTGTTTTCGATGCATGTGATTATGGTGATGCTGCTGCTGACGCAGCCGATGCTGCTGGTGCTGATGTGGATTCTGTCGGTGGTGGCGAGGTTGATCATGTTGTCGACGCTGTTGTTGTTGCTGATGTTGTTGCTTTTGTTGTTGACGTTGTTGTTAATGATGACGGTGGTGGTGGCAGCGATGCTGATGACGATGCTGATGCTGATGCTGATGGTGATGGTTTTGATGCTGTTGATGATGCTAACCATGGTGCTGCTGATGCTGGCGATACTGATGCTGCTGATGCTGGTAATGCTGATGCTGACGATGCTGATGATGACGATGCTGCTGATGATGCTGCTGCTGATGGACGCCGATGCTGAGGATGATGCCGACGACAATTATGAAGATATTACTGATGTAAGTGATGATGATGACGATGATAATGATAATGGTGATGGTGATGCTGCTGATGGTGATGTTGCTGATGATGCTGCTGATGCTGATGATGGTGATGATGCTGCTGATGCTGGTGATGATGCTGCTGCTGATGATGCTGCTGCTGATGACGATCATGGTGGTGGTGATGATGATGGTGATGATGCTGATGATTATAATGGCGATGCCGATACTGATGACGATGGTGCTTATTCATGCTGCCGATGATGCTGATGATGATGATGATGACGATGAGTATGCTGATTCTGATGACGATGTTGATGATGCTGATGATGCTGATGATGCTGATGATAATGCTGATGCTGATGCTGATGCTGATGATGACGCTGCTGCTGATCATGATGCTGCTGCTGCTGATGGTGATGATGATGATGATGCTGATACTGATGCTGTTGATGATCATGATGATGATGCTGCTGATGATGATGATGATGATGATGGTGGTGGTGGTGGTGATGATGCTGCTGCTGCTGATGATGATGATGATGATGATGTGGATACGGAGGAGGCGGAGGAGGATACGTTCGAGGATGGGGGGATGATGATGATGAGGAGGAGGAGGAGGATTATCATGAACATATAACGATTCGCGTACCCCCTCACCAGCCCATCCAGGCACGATGTCCAGCGGAGCTGCCCTGAACGGGGTGGCGTGGCATCATTTGGGGTTGTCGGGGGCTTGTGCAGTGCAGATGCTCCTTGAATGCTTTCTGTGAGGGCAGAGTCTCGTGGGGTGTCCCTTGAGGCCCTCTTTGGGGCATCTTGGTGCGTTTTGTGGCTTCTTGTTGGCTTTTGGGGAGCTCCTCGAGGCGTCTTGGGTGCCTCTGGGAGGGCCTCTTGGGGCCTCTTGGGGCTCTCTCGAGAGCTTTTCGGGTTGCCTTGGGGTCATCGGGGAGGCGAGCGATCAAATACGGGGATGTCGATAATTTGCGCTGCCCCGCAGGAGGCCAGCATGAGCACGCATCCTAAGAAACAAGACGCTGAGTTTCGCCTTCTCGCTGCAGCCTTGTTGGATGCTCCATCGACCCCCCCGCCCCCCCTCCAGGTCCAGGGGACGGGGTTTGGGGGAGGGGTAATACCCTCGAAGGGGCATCCGGGGGTTGGAAGAGGAAGCACCCTACACCACCTTTGCTCTAAAGGGCTTGAGTCGTGTTTTCTGCTTTCTCCTGCCCTCCTGAAGTTCCCTCGTCGACACGGCTGGACTTGACTCGACATCGTGTGCAGTTTCGCTCCAGGATTCTCTTGGATATGACTTGGAGTCGCGTCTGAGGAGAGAGGACCAGGTTATGACGACGACGATGGCGACGACGGCGACAACGACGGCGACGACGATGATGATGCTGATGATGATGCTGATGCGGATTTTGATGATGATGCTGCTGATGATGATGATGACGGATGCTGATGATGATGCTGATGCTGATGAGGGCGATGATGACGACTATGACGATGGTAATGACGATGATCAAATTTCTGGTAACGGTACACTCAGCGAATATGCTGATGCTGATCTTGATGCTGATGCTGTTGCCACTGTTGCTGCTGCTGATGATGTCGATGCTGATGACGATGATCTGGTTGACGTTGGTGAATAATATAAGCATGGCGATGATGCTGCTGTTACTAATGATGGTGATGGTGATGGTGATGATGACGACGGGGATGACGACGACAGTGATGATGCTGCTTCTGATTATGACGCTGCTGATGAGGGGGATGCTGATAATGATGATGTTTGTGCTGATGCTGATGATGATGCTGATCATGGTGGTGGTGATGATGCTATTGATGATGATTATGATGATCTTGATGCTGACGATGATGATGATGATGATGATGACGATCATGATGATGCTGATGATGATGATTATGATGATGATGATGATGACGACGATGCCGCCGACGACGACCACGGTGATGATGCTGTCAATGCTGATGATACTGATGATATTGATGCTGATATCATGATGGTGGCGGTAATAGTCATGGAAGTTTTGAGATCGTGATTCTGATAATTACGATGCTCATTCCCTACCTAGGCTCTGCCTAGAAGGATTCTTACTCTGTGGGCTTAAACGGCCGGGCAGTGGGGCTCGCCCCGGGCGGTTCCCCCAGGATCCGCCCCGCGGTTCCCCCAGTCCCCTGGGAGCTTTAGCTTTAGCTGTAGCTTTAGCTGTAGCTTTAGCTGTAGCTTTAGCTTAGCTTTAGCTTAGCTTTAGCTTAGCGTTAGCTTAGCTTTAGCTTAGCTTTAGCTTAGCTTTAGCTTAGCTTTAGCTTAGCTTTAGCTTAGCTTTAGCTTAGCTATAGCTTAGCTTTAGCTTATATTTAGCTTAGCGTTAGCTTATCTTTAGCTTAGGTTTGGCTTAGGTTTAGCTTAGCTTCAGCTTAGCTTTAGCTTAGCTCTAGCTTATCTTTAGCTTGGCTTTAGCTTAGCTTAGCTTAGACTTATCTTAGCTTTAGCTTAACTTCAGCTTGGCTTTAGCTTAGCTTTAGCTTAGCTTTAGCTTAGCTTTAGCTTAGCTGTAGCTTCACTTTAGCTTAGCTTTAGCTTAGCTTTAGCTTAGCTTTACTGTTACTACGAATGCTGCTTTCCTAGGGGCTCCAACTAGGTAGGGCCGCACTGGGATAATGTTGTTTTTTATGATGGTGATGGCGACGATGGCAATATGGCTGATGCTGATTCTGATGACGATGATATGATGACGGTGACGATTATGATGCTGCTGATGATGCTGATGATAATGATGGTGAAGATTGCGATGGTGATTGGTATGATGATGATCATGATGACGATGCCGATGCTGATGATGATAATGATCACAACGCCGCTGATGATGATAAAGATGATGGTGGAATGATGGACGTGGTGGTGACGGTGATGGTGGTTCATCTTGTGATTTTATTTAATCGCTTCGCTCATTCCGCCGGCCCATATTGTCGCACCGTTGTGGGCTAGCCGAGTTTTGGGGGCCGTTTTGGGGCCTCTTGGGGCCTCTTTTGGGCCTCTTGGGCGCCTCTTGGGGCGTCTTGGGGGCCTCTTGGGGGCCTCTTGGGGCCTTTTTGGGGCCTCCTGGGCGCCTTCTGGGGCGGAGGGCTCGATTTTTCAGTTCTCGGTTCCCCTCTTGAGCCCCTCTTGGGCCCGTCTTGGGGCCTCTTGGTCCGTCTTGGGCGGCACTTGGGCCGTCTTGGGGGCCCTCCTGGGCCGTTCCGGGGCCGTCTTGGGAGCCTCGTGGGCCGTCTTGGAGCGGTCTTGGGGGCCTCTTGGGCCGTCTTGGAGCGTCCGGAAGCCGAAAAAGCCAGAACACAAAAAACATCGAAAAAAACAATGAAAATCAACGATTTTGGCCTCTTGGGGCTCTCTTCGGAGGCCTCTTGGAAGGCTCTTGGGGCGTCTTGGAGGCCTCTTGGGCTGTCTTGGGGGCCTTTTGGGCCGTCTTGGGGTCATCTTCGGCGTCTTCGAGCGCTCTTTGGGCGTCTCGGGGGCCTCTTGGGCAGTCTTGGGGGCCTCTTGGGGCACTCTTGGCGCGCTCAGGGCGGCCTGAGAGGCCGCACCCAGAAGGAAAACCATCTCTGAGTTGAACCGGGCGGGACCTTGCCAGGCGGCGGGCGGGGTACTTTTCGCCGGGGGACCCCCAGGGGCCGCCCCGCGCGCGCGAACTAGTACAATACAATTGTTAACCAGTTACCGGAGATCTTAGCACGCCTCTGGCCCGTTGGGCCGGCGAATTTCTTGTGATGATGATGAGGGGGAGAGGGAGGAAGAGGAGGAGCAGGAGGGAGGAGCAGGAGGAGGGGGAGGTTGATGATATTGTTTTTGGGGAATTGTTGTGATCATGTGATGACCAGGACCTCCGCCGCTTCAAAGTACCCCACCGAGAAGCCAAAACGGCGAGAGATTTCCCTGGGGAGTGACAAGTTCTTTTCCTCCGCATCCCCCTTCCTTGAACCTCGGAGCTGCGTGCACAAGGGCCGATGCGAAACGTTGCTCTCCCTCCCTTCACTCCTCTCCCCTCTTCCTTTCTGCTCCTCCCCCCTCCCTTCCCAGGAGAAGCTCGTGAGGTCCGAGACCTCGGAGCTCTCAGAGTCGTCGGGCTCCACCGCCTCCGCGTCGTCCTCCGAGTGACGTGGCAGGGTCGCCCCGGTCCGCCTCGGTGCCATCGTCGTGAACTGGGCGCTCCCCAGCGCCGAAAAAGGCTGCTGGAGCGGGGGCTGGGGGGAGGTAGGAAGGTGCCTGGCCCTTCCTATCTTCAGGGCCTTCTGTGCAAACAGCCTCGTTTTGCAAGTTTGCGGGACTTCCCAAAAACCATAAAGACCGACTATCCCTTGAAGAATGTATTGAGACCTCGCAGAATCAGCATACAGTTGTTGACATATCACATGGCCATACATGTTGCTGTACACGGGGGAGGAAGCGAAGGCGAGGAGGAGGAGGCGGATTTTTTATACCCGGTAGAGGCTTCTCGCCGTGTCAGCTTCCCGGGGCCGCCTCTCTAGAGCTCTGGGGCAAGACAACAAAAACAAAAACAGAGCGCTGGCGACGAGGACAAGGCAGGGCAAGGCAACATCAACAGCAACAGCAACAACAACAACGACACAAGACGGGGTAAGACACACACACACAGAAAACAAAAACAGGGCAAGACAACAACAACAAGGTCCACATCGTTGAACACGGCCGAGGAGGATCAGCATCTTCACCGATCCCCATCCCCGATGGGCCGTGGTATCTCGGCCCCACCGGCCCACCACTCCAGGTGGGGATGGGCCCCGCGAAGCCCGCAGGGAACGGCGCGCACGATCCCGGGTCGAGGGTTCACGGGCCCCCCCGCCACAGATTGGAGGGCCCCCGGGGCTTTGCGGGCCCCCCCCCCGCCCCACGATAGGATGGGGCGAGGGACGACGGCCACGACGACGACGACGTTGGCGACGACGACGACGACGACATTGGCGACGACGACGACGAGGAGGACGACGACGACGACGGACGAAGACGACGACGGCGACGACGACGACGACGAGGAAGACGACGACAACGGACGACGAAAACGACGACGACGTTGGCGACAATGTTCGTGACGACGACGACGACCAGGACGAGGACGACGAAGACGACGGACGACGACGACGACAACGACGACGACGGCGACGACGACGAGGACGACGTTGGTGATGGCGGCACGACGACTGAGGACGACGACGACGACAACGGACGTCGAGGACGACGACGGCGACGACGATTACGACATTGGCGACGACGTTGGGGACAACGACGAGGTCGAGGACGAGGACGACGAAGATGACGACTGCGCCGACGTTGGCGACGACGACGATCATCATCATCACCATCGTCATCATTATCAGCATCATCCTCAGTATCAACATCACCATCTGCATTATCGTCATCGTAATCGACATCGTCATCATCGCCATTGCCATCGCCATCGTTATCATCACGATCGTCATCATTATAATCATCATTATCATCATCATTGTCTTCCTCATCGTCATCATCGTCATCATTGTTATCGCCGTCGTCATCATCACTACCATCACGATCACCACCGTCGTAGAAGCCATTAATTCTCATCCTCCTCCCGATCATCACCATCCCCATCATCATCAGCATCATCGTTGTCGTCGGCATCATCATCGTCATAATCATAATCATCATCATCACCATCATGATCATCACCATCATCATCATGATTATCATCCATCACCCATCCATCCATCCATCCATCCATCCATCCATCCATCCATCCATCCATCTTCTCTCTGAAAAGATCGGCCCGTGAACCTGTCCGGCAGCGCGCTTCTGACCAGGGCTTTCGAGGCGTGCCCAGCCGTGGCCACAGCGGCGCCCCGGCATCCCCACGAGAGAGCGGGTCAAGAGTATGGGCTTCTCACCGAACACCTACCTCCAGCACGGAGAACACTCTGAGCATGTGGATGATGATGGGGGCGATGCTGATGATATTGCTAAAACTCATATGTGTAATACCAGCAAATGATCCCAGAGCGACCCTACCCAGGAGTTGGAGCCCCGAGGAGAGCAATATTAGTAGTAACGGTAAACGCCGTCCTCCTCCTTCTCCTCATCGTCGCAGTTGTAGCAGTAGCGGTAGTAGTAGTAGTAGTAGTAGTAGTAGTAGTAGTAGTAGTAGTAGTAGTAGTAGTAGTAGTAGTAGTAGTAGTAGTAGTAGTAGTAGTAGTAGTAGTAGTAGTAGTAGTAGTAGTAGTAGTAGTAGTAGTAGTAGTAGTAGTAGTAGTAGTAGTAGTAGTAGTAGTAGTAGTAGTAGTAGTAGTAGTAGTAGTAGTAGTAGTAGTAGTAGTAGTAGTAGTAGTAGTATTTATAGTACAGCTCAATACCTACATCTGCATCTAGACCTGCATCCACATCTACACCTACAGCTACATCTACATGTACACATGCATCTACATCTACATCTGCATCTACAACTACACTCACATCTACATCTATTTCTACACCTACATCTACACCTACATGTACATCTACATTTACATCTACACCTACATCCACATCTACACCTACACCTACATCTGAATCTACATCTACACTTTCGCATTGGTTTTGCTTTTGCATTGCCTTTGCTATTGCTCTTGCCTTTGCTTTTGCTTTTGCTGTTGCTGTTGCTTTTGCTTTGCTTGCTATGCTGTGCTATGCTGCGCTATGCTATGCTATGCTATGGTATGCCATGCCTAAGCTAAGATAAACCTGAGCTAAGATGAAGCTAAGCTAAGCTAAGATGAAATAAGCTAAGCTAAGATGAGATAAGCAACGCTAAGCTAAGGGGACGTAACTGGGGGAACCGCGGGGCGGATGCCGGGGGAACCGCCCGGGCCGGTTCCCACTGCCCGGCCCTTTTAAGCCAACAGAGCAAGAACCTTTCTAGGCAGAGTCTAGGTAAGGAAATACTTATATAGTAGTCGTAGGAGCGCTAGTATCAATAAAGTAATACTACTAATGGAAATAATAAGGAAGACAGTAGTCATAGTACTAATGATGATGATGCTGATGATGATGCTGATGATAATGGTGCTGATCGCCACGATGATGATGATGATGATGATGATGATGATGATGATGATGATGATGATGATGATGATGATGATGATGATGATGATGATGATGATGATGGCAGTGATGCTCAAGCTGATGACGATGCTGCATGTGGTCATGGTGATTATTCCAATGCTGGGGGTTGGTGAATGATGATGCTTATGATGATGATGATGATGATGATGATGATGATGATGATTATGATGATGATGCTGATGATTACGGTGATGATGCTGATGATGATAATGATGATATTGCTGATGATGCTGATTGTGATGATGATTCGGATGATGATGATGCTGCTGATGTTGATGTGGGTGATTGTGATGATCATGATGATACCTCTGCTGTTGCTGACGATGATCATGCTGATGAGTATGCTGATGGCGACGCTGCTGATGATGATGCTACTGATGCTGATGCTGCTTCTGCTGCTGCTGCTGACGATGTTTATGATGATGATGCTGCTGATGATGATGATGATGCTGAGTACGATGATGATGCGGCTGATGGTGATTGTCGTGGTGGTGGTAGTGATAATGATGATGACGCTGATTGTGATTATGATGCTGATGCTGCTGCTGATGATGATGCTATTGTCAATGATGCTGGTGATGCTGATGCTGATGCTGATGATGCTGCTGATGATGAGGATGCTCATGATGCTGATGACGACGATGATGATGTTGATTCTGATGCTGATGATGCTGATGACGGTGGTGATGATGCTGATGATGATGATACTGCTGCAGCTGCTGCTGCTGCTGATGATGATGATGATGATGACACACTGCTGCTGCTGATGATGGTGCTGATGCTGATGCTGCTGATGCTGATGATGATGGTGGTGGTGATGATGGTGTTGTTGATGATGATCACGACGATGATGATGTTCATGTTGATTCTGAGGATGCTGATGATGATGTTGATGATGATGATGCTGATGATGATGATGATGATGCTGATGATGATGATGATGATGATGATGATGATGATGATGATAATGGGGATGGTGATGATGGTTATGATGCTGCTGCTGCTGCTGATGATGATGATGATACTGCTGCAGCTGCTGCTGCTGCTGCTGATGATGATGATGATGATGACACACTGCTGCTGCTGATGATGGTGCTGATGCTGATGCTGCTGATGCTGATGATGATGGTGGTGGTGATGATGGTGTTGTTGATGATGATCACGACGATGATGATGTTCATGTTGATTATGATGATGCTGCTGATGATGATGATGATGCTGATGATGATGATGATGATGATGATGATGATGATGGGGATGGTGATGATGGTTATGATGCTGCTGCTGCTGCTGATGATGATGATGATGATGATGATGATGATGATGCTGATGATGATGATGATGATGATGATGATGATGATGATGATGATGATGATGATGATGATGATGATGATGATGATGATGATGATGATGATGATGATGATGATGATGATGATGATGATGATGATTCGGAGGAGGATGAGGAGGAGCATCACCAGGCATTACCAGCATCTGAGGAGCCCAACTTCACAGATCCACCTCGTTCCTCCCTCCTTCCCTCTCTCGGGAGAGGGTAAAGAGCAATGGTGGGTCTGAGAGGGGGGAGGGGCGACGGCGGACGGTGCCTTGGACGTCATGGCCGTGGTCAGTAAACGCTTGCTCAGTGAGAGCTCGCGACAAACATGAAAAGGCTGCCTCCTGGTCGGGGAAGCGGGTTGACGGGGGGAAACCCCGCTAGGCAGGGGCGGCACTCCCGGAGAGCCCTCGGGCGATGCAGGCAGTGGGATGCCAATGCGCCACGCTGCATGAGGTGCGGCGGTGCGATCGATGCGCCGCGCGCCAGGCAGGCAGTGGGTTGCGATGAGACGAACCGCATGGGACCCTGCTCTCTGAGACGAGGAGGGGGGGAGGAGGGAGGAGGGAGGCGGGAGGAGGGAGGAGAGAGGAGGGGAGGAGAAGGGGGAAGGAGGGAGGCGGGAGGAGGGGAGGAGGAGGGAGGAGGAGGGGGGGAGGTGGGAGGAGGGGAGGAGGAGGGGAGGAGGAGGGGAGGGAGGAGGCAGGCGGGTCCGGGTGGGCTCTGGCTTCCCACCTCGGCCCCGGCAGGGAGAGGACACCGGGGGGGGGCCGCGGCGCGCGCTCCCAGGCCCTCAACTGCAACGACGTCCCCAGTGCCATCGGGGTCCCTGCGCGCGCGTGCGCGCGCGCGCGGTCGGTCGAAGCCGCCTCCAGCAGCCGCCAGCGGCCGCCGTTCCCGCCCGCGCCCCCGCCGTGTGCTCTCTCTCGTTGTGACTGGCCGCCCTGGGCGTTGCGAGCTGCTGCGCCTGATCAGGTCGGGGCCGGGCCGACCCCGAGTGGGGGTTTGCGTGCGTGTGAGTGTGTGTGTGTGTGATCACCATCATCATCATCGTCGTCGTCGTCATCATCAGCATCATCATCGTCATCATGATCCTGATCATCATCATCATCATCACCATCATCATCATTAGCAGCCGTAGCAGCAGCACCATCATCACCACCATCACCACCATCATAATCATCATCATCATCATCATCATCATCATCATCATCATCATCATCATCATCATCATCATCATCATCATCATCATCATCATCATCATCGTCATCATCATCATCATCATCATCATCATTCTGACCAGCATCATCATTATCATCATCACCACCACCATCACTATCATCATCGTCATCATTATCATCGACATCAACATCACCATAATCATAATCAGCATCATCAGCAGCAGCAGCAGTTCGTGCCATCATCATCATCATCATCATCATCATCATCATCATCATCATCATCATCATCATCACCATCATAGTCATAATCATCGTCAGCATCTTCCTCATCATCATGGTGCTGATCCTCCCCCTCATTCATCACCCCTTTCCCTCCACCCTCCTCCTTTCCCGTCTCTTCTTCCTTCTAACAACCATTTCTTTTCTGTTTTTCCTCCTCCTCACCCTCCCTTCTCCCCTCATCTCAGCTCGCTATCTCCCTCGCCGTCTCCCGCGTTTGCTTCCTCTTGGTCTCCGTCTTCCTCCTAGTCTTCCTGTTCCTCTTCTTTCTCGTCTTCTTGCGCGTATTCCTGCTATTCCTCCTCCCCCTCCTCCTCACTCTCCTCCTCCTCCCTCTTCTCCTCCCTCTCCTTCTCCTCCCTCCCCCAAGTACCTCGCACAGGGCCGTGCCGACTGGAAGGCATGGCTTAACGTCGGAGTGCAGTCTGGTGCTAAACGGGTCCACATGTTGCGTGTGGTCACGGATCCGCTCTCGCTTCTGAAAGTGGCGGGCCACCGTTTCTCGGAGCTGTGGGGTCCTGGTTCGGGGGCTCTGTCTCGGTTTGAGCGCCTTGAACCCCTCCTCAGAATCGAGGCTGATGCCATTCGCGAAGTATCTCGGTCATATAAGAGTGCGTCGACCGTCTTTGTTGACGGGTTTCACTGCAGATACTTCTCTATGCTGTCTGATGCAAACCTCACATGTCTCAGTAACATTCTCTGTCTGATCGAGTCTCTTGGCATTCTCCCTCCCCAGATTTCGGTTGTGTTCTTGGTTCAGGGTCTGGGGGCGCTGCAGGCGTCCACTCGCCCTGGACTGGGAGCTTACACCCCCCCGTGGGTACTGGGCCGCTGGCCAGCATCGGGGAGCGGCCGACGTCGTTTGGCGACAGGCGGTGACGGCTGAAAGCGGAGTCGCCAGGGGTCAGGCTAGTTGTGGCATTTTTTTTGATCTCCCTAAGTTCTACGAGAATATTAATTCGGATGAGTTGGAGGATCGCTGCAGGAGGCATCGGTTTCCGATGATCATCGCCAGCTTGTGCCTGCATGCTTACAAAATTGGATGGTTCCTCAGTCTCGGCGGTTGGATCGGGGGCCCCTATTTTTGCGTGAACGGGGTCATCGCTGGCTGCTCGATGGCCACCACTCTTATCCGCGTCTCCTGTCTGGACGGTTACGACAGCACCTTCTTGCACCCTCCACCTCCCTGGACGTTTACATCGACGACCAGGGCTTGTCCTCCACGGGTCGTTCTGGTGCCGTCGTGGAAGCTGTGGTGGCTGGAACCGTAGCGTTGGATGGTGTCGTTCGGGATGTTTTCGGTGGTTCGTTCGCCTTGGAGAAAACGGCGATCGTTGCTAGATCGATGTTCGTCGGCACCCATGTCCTCGACAGGCTCAGCCACCTCTGCCGCCACGGCTCTTGTTCCACGGTCAACCTCGGCGTTGATTACACGGCTGGTCGAGCCGTTAGGGTTGGCGGCAAATCGGCCAAGATGAAGGCTCGGATAGCCAAGTCAGGGCGGGTAGCTCGGCGCTTAGCGCGGCAGGGTATGGCGGTCAGTCAGGGTATTTTCTTTAAGGTCTTTTCGGCGGGGCCCTTAGTGGGGGCCTCCTATGGGTCCGAAATCACGGGCATCAGCGGTCACGATCTTAGCCTGCTACGCCGCCGTTTTTTTTTCCCACCCCCCGTCTTTCGGCCCCCCGCAGCCAGCTGAGGTCTCTCACAGTCAGCGCCGTGCTGGACTGCGATCCGACGTGGCGAGCTGCTACGGCCCCGGTTCTCAGATGGAGCAAGGAGATTTGGATAAGTCAGACCTCAGCCTTCCGCTGGTTTCTCTCTTTGCCTGTGCTCAGGCGTGCGTGGCACGCCATCTTTTCTTGTGCGTCCTGTAGCTGGAGGCGAGTTGCGGGCCTCATCTTTTCCGTGCGGATGTCCCTGGTGCGCATCGGGTGGCGCATGGTTATGTTCATGATCCTTGTTGACGGTTTTCGGGATATCCGTTCCCTTGTGGATCTTCTCGCCCTCGCCTGCCGGGTCCCTGGTCCGAGAAGGGTATTTCCGCATGTTGGAGAGAGACGCGGCGGCTGCTCGCGGCATCCAGTCCCGTCTCTGCTACGACGTTGCGCGGGAAAGCCTCTCCCTTCGCGGTGAGAAATTCACGCCCGTCCAAAAGGCTAGGATTCGGGCCTTCTCCGCGGAAGCGTTCCCCGCGGCTGCCAGGGCCGAGTCGCTCGGATATATCATTGAGCCTGTTTGTATCCATAATGGAGCCCGCGACGCCATCTTCCACCGTTTGTGGGGATGCCCCTCCCCCCGCGGCTGAGGATAGGAGCAGGCTGGTCGAGCCCGATATCATCTAAGCCGCGCGTGCAGCTAAGGCCTCGGGCGAGTACGAGGACAGCTTTGCATTTATCTCTGGCGCCTTTCGGCACCCCGCCGACCTCTACCCTCGGACGTTGACTGACCAGGATGAAGGTCCGACCTTGACGTGGCACAAGCACCCTCAGGAGGGCCCTAATGAGGCCCCTGTCGGCAAACGTGTCTGGGGCTACCTCTTTGTCGACGGTTCTTGTTCTCGCCGTGCGGTGCGCGAACATTCTCGAGCGGGCAGTGCGGTTAGCATGGTGGGCGAGGCTGGTGACTTGGTTGCCGAGCTTCGTGCGCCAGTGCGGGGGCCATGCCCGCAGACGGCTCAGAGTGCCGAATTTAACGGCTAATGTTATTGCCGCGCTTCCCGCCGACTGCCACGGTCATTCGGATTGTAGCAATATTGTTCAGTTTGCCGCCAGAGGCAAGCCGGTGCAGTTGTCGCCCAAGAGGATGTATTCGGGAGCGTTTCTCCAGTGTTATGGTCAGTGTGGTGGAGTCGCTTCTTGCTTTGGGGCGGCCGCCCACCTTCGCATCGACGCTCCTGACATCGCGCCCCGTGAGCGCTGGTGCAGGCTTGGCAATCACCATGCTGATGTTGCAGCCAAGCACGCAGTCTCTTTGCACCCGCGCGATGAAGGTTTACTTCAGGATGCTGACAGAATGGCGTCCTACGCTAGGGCCACTTTGAAGCTTGCTGCGCACGTGCTTGTCCACTGGTCCCCTTTGGACTTGTCTGGTGTCGTCAGGACCCTTCGTCCCCCGTCTCACCGGGGGCCCACTTCTGGCCATGTTTGGAAATCCTGGAGCGGAATCTGGAGGTGTGCTCATTGTTTGCGTGGTTTCAGGTCTTTCTCGAAGCCACCCCCAGGATCCTGCTCTAGGAGGTCCCTGGTCCATGCGGACCGCCGAGATGCCCTTGGACACAGAACCGTCGCTTTCCCGTGCTCTGGCAACTCGGTGCTCTTTATATGTCTCAGGTGCAAATGCCACGCCAGCGGGGGTCAAACCCGTGGCCTGCCCAGGAGTGTGTTGCCCCATCCCGTGCTGGCAGGCATGGCTGGGACTACGTTTGCAAAGGACAGCACCCCCAGCACAATCAGCGCAAAGCTGGAGTCAGTGTTGACACTGAAAGTCTGGTCCGATGTTTCAACTCGCCGTTTGCGAGCGCCTTGCTGGTCGCAGGCCCCGTCGAGCCTGCCTGCACCTCCGACCCAGCTGAGCTGCTGCTACCTCTTCCGCTGGTCCGTCTGCCACAGCTGCGGGGCCTGGCAGCGCTTTGCCGTTGCTCGCTTCGCAGCCCCGTGCCTTGGCCACTGGTCCATTACCCTCCGAAGGTGACGGACTTGTGGGCGACGCGTCGGGCTGCGGCTTCTACGATGATTTTGAAGCTGACGAGGAAGCCGCCTTGTTCCTCGCAGCGGGCCCGTCTTCCGCCGATGGTTTAGTCGGCTCTGCTGCGAAAACAGCTGGCTCGCGCGGTTCTGCGCCGTTTGATGTTTCGCTGCTTCGCCTGCCTGGCACTGGTCCTCTACCAGCGGGTGACGGACTTGTGGGCGGTGGGTCGGGCAGCGGTCTCTCTGCAAGTTTTGAAGCTGCCCCGCCGTCTGCCGACGGCATTGTTGGCCGTGCTGCGGGCACAGCTTGCTCCGTCGGCGCCGCGCCGACCGATGCCCCGCCGCCCGGCGCGCCAAGCATCGGTCCATTACCCGCGTCGGGTGACGGACTTGTGGGCGGTGCTTTGGGCTGCGGCCTGTCTGCAAGTTTTGAAGACGAGGAGGCCGCGCTGCCAATGCCCCGTCCTGTGCGCGAACCTGGCGATTCCGACTAGGCTCGGTTTTAACTCGCCAGATCCTGCCTCCGTAGCTGGCGAAGTCCTCGGGCGTGACCCGATGTGGAGGCGTGAGCGTGGAGCACAACCAAAATCTGCCTCCCTCTTCCTCTCACCCTCCTCTTCCCTCTCCTCTCTCCCTCTTCTCCCTCTTCCTCTTCCCCTCCCTCTGCTCCTCCCTCTTCTACTCTGTTTCTTCCTCCATCTCCCTCTTTTGCTTCCTCTTTTCCCCGCCCCCCTCCCAGACCAGCCCGCTGGCCCCGCAGAGTCCCTAGAGCCTTCAGATACCAATCGCCCTTTACAGCCCGTGCAGAACCTTCGGACGTTCTCCTCCCATCTTCCTCCTCTCCTCCTCCGTCCTCGGCGTCGTCGTCGTCTTCCAACGACGGCGAATGCGAATGCGAAAGCGACGAGGACTCAAGCGCATGTGCCCGCGGCGTCCTCCGCCCCCAGAGGTCCCCAGAGGCCCCTGCGGGCCCCGGGGAGGACCTCGGAGGCCCCCAGGGGGCTCGCCGAGGGCCCGCAGAGGCCCCCCGAGGCCCGAGGCGCTGCGGACCCCTCGAGCCTCCACACCTCGACCCTCCGCCCTCGATCCCCGAACGCCCCGCACGCCTCGAACGCCCTCGACGCGCCGACACTCGAGCCTCGCACGCCCGTTCGGCTCGAGCCGCGATGGGTCTCTCAGCGTCCAAGTCCCCCGCGCCGTCGGCGGGGACGTCTCCCCGGCCGGAGCCGCCGCCATGCGGGGCAGAGGCGGCTAGCGCCGACTCAGGCCAGCCACTCCTCGTGCTCCTCGTCGTCGTCCCCGCCCTCGTCCTCCGCCTCCCCGCTCCCCGTCGCCCTCGCTCCTCATCCTCCTCTTCCTCATCAGTGTCCTTGTCCTCCTCCTGCCTTCTCTACTCCTCCCCGTGCTCCCTTCCTCCCGATGCTCCCTCCCTCCCTCCTCCTTCCTCCTTCCTCTCCTGCCTTCGCTCCTCCCCCCTCCTCCTCCCTCCCCATGCCCCCTCCTCCTCCTCCTCTTCCTCCTCTTCCTCCTCCTCCTCCTCCTCCTCTCCCTCTTGCCCCTGTGCCTCATACCTCCGCCTGCCCCTCCTCTCCATGCCCCCTCCCGAAGTTCTTTTCTGCCTCGCTCCTGCCCCTCTCCGCCCTCTTCCCCCCCTCCTCGTCCTTCGCTCCCCTCGCCCCTCGGCTCCCCCCTGTGCCCCTCGCCGCTCCCCCGGAGGAGGCCCGGAGGGCAGAGCCAGGAGGGGCCGTGCCGCCCCCTCCGGTCCGCCGCGGGAGGCGCCGGCGACGGCTTCGATGCCACCGACCTCCTGCGACACCTGCAGGATGGGCCTCTTAGGGGGCGGTCGGCCCTCTCGTCCTCGCTGGGGGGGGGGGCGCGGTGGGCAGGGGGTGGCATGGAGGTCAGGAGGAGGGCGCCGTGGAGGTGGAGGAGGAAGCAGGAGGCTGAGGGAGGTCGATTGAGGAGGGCGAGGAGCATTGCAGGGGAGGAGGAGGAGGAGGAGGAGGAGGAGGAGGAGTAGGAGGAGGAGGAAGCAGAAGGCGAGATCATGATGATGGTGATGATGATGATGATGATGATGATGATGATGATGATGATGATGATGATGATGATGATGATGATGATAATGCTAATGCTGATGCTGCTGATGATGATGTTGCTGCTGCTGATGATGCTGATGATGCTGCTGCTGCTGATGATGATAATGCTGCTGCTGATGATGACGATGATGAGAATGATGATGGTAATGATGATGATGATGATGCTGCTGCTGCTGATGATTACTACGATGATTCTGATGATGATTGTTGATGTTGGTGATGATGCTGACGATGACGATTTACGATGATGATGACGACGATGACAATTATGCTACAGAGATGATGATGCTGCTGCTGATGCTGATGATGATGCTGATGCTGATGATGATGATGATGATGATGATGATGATGATGGTGATGCTGATTCTGATAATGCTGATACTGATGATTACGATGATGGATTTGGTGGTGATATTGGTAGTGATGATGATTATTATGGTGGTGGTGGTGGTCATGCTGATGATGATGCTGGTGGTGTCGATTGATGATAACGATACCGATACCGGTACGGATTACGATGATGATGATGATGATGATGATGATGATGATGATGATGATGATGATGATAATGATAATGATAATGATGATGATGATGATGAATTTGCTGGTAATGCTGCTGCGGCTGATGATGATGATGATGGTGGTGATGAGGATTCTGATGATATGCTGCGGTGGATGATGATGATGCTGATGATGATGCTGATGATGATGGTGATGCTGATGTTGAGTATGATGATGATTATGATGCTGCGGATGATGATGCTGACGATGCTGGTGCTCATGATGCGGATGCTGATGCTGATGCTGATGCTGCTGATACTGATGGTGCAAATGCTGATGATGTAGGTGATGAAGTTGCGGACGACGACGATTGTGGTGATGCTGTGGATGCTGATGATGAGGATGATGATGCCGATGGTGAGGTTGACCATGATGCTGTTGGCTATGATGATGGTCATGACGCTGATGTGGGTGCTGATGATCATGCTGTTGCAGTTGCTGCTGCTGATGAAGACGATGATGGTGCTGATCATGATGATGCTGCTGCTGATGATGATAATGCTTATCATGATGATCATGATGATGCTGATGATGAATAGGATGCTTATGACGATGCTGATGCTGATGATGGTGGTGATGATGATGATGGTGATGCTGAGGACGATGCTGATGATGGTGATGATGGTGATGCTGATAATGATGGTGATGATGCTGATGATGATGCTGATGCTGATGGTTCTGATGATGATGCAGATGATGATGATGATGATGTTGCGGATGACGACGATGGTGATGGTGATGATGATGATGATGATTTTGCTGGTGATGCTGCTGCTGCTGACGATGATGATGATGGTGGTGATGAGGATTCTGATGATATGCTGCTGCTGATGATGATGTTGATGATGATGATGGTGATGCTGATGTTGAATTTGATGAGTATGATTATGCTGATGATGATGATGATGACGATGACGATGATGAGGTCGCCGATGCTGAAGGTGATGCTGATGATGCTTATGATGATGCTGATGCTTATGCTGTTGATGATGATGATGATGATGATGATGATGATGATGCTGACGCTGATGCTGTTGATGCTGCTGGTTATGATGGTGACGATGCTGATGGCGACGATGCTGATGATGATGTTGATGCTGTTGGCGAGGATGCTGATGATGATGATGATGCTGATGATGATGATGATGCTGATGATGACGATGCTGATGCTGCTGCGAATGACGATGACGATGACGATGCTGATGCTGATGATGATGATGATGATGATGACGACGATACTGGTGATGCTGCAGATGCTGATGATGAAGAGGATGCTGCTGCTGATGATGATGGTGATGCTGATAGTGTTGCTGATGATGACGTTGATGATACGGGTACGGATGCTCATGTGCATGATCTTGGTGATGATGGTGATGATGGTGGTGACGGTGATGGTGGCGGCGATGCTCATACTGGCGGTGGTGGTGATGATGAGGATGAGGATGAGTCATCTCATTTCTGCAGGCTGAGCAGGCGGAATTGAAGAGGGTTGGGTCGGCAGGTGGATGGGAAATGAGGATAGGAAGGGAGAACACGGACTCGTTATTCTGCTGTATCCGACTCGTTGCTGGCCCTCTATCTTTTCTGTTCCTTTTCTTCCTCCCTTCTCCTCCCTGACCCCACTTCTCCCTACCCTCCTCTCTCTCCTCTTCCCTCTTCCGTCCTCTTTCCTCCTCCTTGTCCCCTCCTGCCTCGTTCTCCGCATCCTCATTCCTCGTCCTTGTCCCTGCCCGCTCCTCCCTCCCCCTCCCTGCCACCTCCTCCCTCCTCTCCCCCCCTCCCTCCTACTCCCTCCTCCTTCCTCATCCCTCCTCCCTTTTCCCCATTGTCCCCAACCTCTGCGCTTCCCTTCGCTTCGTTTTCCAGTGCCATGCTTTGCTGGCAGACCGCAGGCGGGCATCTTGCAGCGACGTTTGACCGAGTCAGAAGCAGCCGTCGACCCTTTGCGCACGCGTTTGGAGACGGGGGCACAACGTTCGCGAGTCCGTCCGTTCCGTCTCAGTTTCTTTGCTCCTTTCTTCCCCAGTGTTTTCCCTGACCCTCCTGTGTGTTGGGTCCTCGCTGTGAACTCGCTGCGCCGCGCGTCTCCTTCTCCTCTCCTCCTCTCCGCTTCCTCCTCACTCCCACTCCACTTTAGCATCCTCCTGGTTCCTCTTCCCACCACCACCATCACCACCGTCACCACCAACATCACCATCATCATCATCATCATCATCATCATCAGCATCATTTTCATCACATCATCAACATCATCATCACTACTATCATCATCATCGTCATCATCATCATCGTCAGCGTCATCATCAGCATCACCACCACCATCATCACCATCATCACCATCATCATCAACCTTATCATCGTCACCATCATCACCATCGTCGTCATCCACAACATCATCATTGTCATAACATCAGCATCAGCACCATCAGCATCAGCATCACTATCATCATCATCATCATCATCATCATCATCATCATCATCATCATCATCATCATCAACATCAATGTTATGACGATCGCCATCACCACCACAATCACTATCAATCACCGCCACCATCATAATCTCCATCAGCATCAGCATCACCATGGCCATCACCATCACCATCACCATCACCATCATCATCATCATCATCATCATCAGCTTCGTCACCATCACCGCCAACAGAAACATCATCATCATCACCATTACCATCACCCATCATCATCATCATCACGACCATCATCAGCATCATCATCACCATCGCCATCATCGCCAGCATCATCATCAGCATCAGCACCATCCTCACCATCATCATCATCATCATCATCATCATCGTCATCGTCATCGCCATCGTCATCGTCGTCGTCGTCGTCGTTGTCGTCCTCGTCGTCTGCAACATCATCATCTGCACCATCAGTATCATCATCCTTATCATCACCATCATCATGACCAACATCATCATCGTCATCAATATCCCGCTGTCGCCATCATCAATCATCACCATCATCATCACCACCATCACCATCATCACCATCATCATCACCATCACCATCACCATCACCAACATCATCATCATCACCACCATCATCGTCATCATTTGAATCGTCGTCGTCGTCATCATCACCACCACAATCATCATCATCATCATCACCATCATCACCATCATCATCATCATCATCATCATCATCATCATCATCATCATCATCATCATCATCATCATCATCATCATCATCATCATCATCATCATCATCATCTTCGTCATCTTCATCATCATCTTCATAATCATCATTAGCATCACCAGTGTCACCATCATCACCATCGTCACCGTCACCGTCACTATCACCATCACCATCACCACCACACCACCTTCACCATCATTTGGGAAGGCGCACCCATTACATTTTTCGATGTCCCATAGGGAGCTCCTCCGAAGGCCCCCGTGGCAGGGTTCGCATGGCTACTCGTGCCCACTGTGGCACACCCCTCACGCGTTTCGCATTTCCATAAGGAGCTCCACCGAAGGCCCCAGTTACAGGGTCCGCATGGTTACTCGTGTACAGTCTGGTACACCCATCACACGTTTCGTGCCCCCCATAGGGGGTTCTGCCGAAGGCTTCTGTTGCAGGGTCCGCATGGTTACTCGGGTCCATTCTGGCACATCCCTCACACTTTTCGTGGCCCCATAGGGAGCTCCACCGAAGGACCCAGTGGCAGGCCGCATGGTTATTCGGGTCCATTCTGGCACACCCTCACATGTTTCGTGTCTTCGGAGGGAGCTCCGCCGAAGGCCTCTGTGGCATGGTTCGCATGGTTAATCGGGTCCACTCTGGCAGCCCCTCACACGTTTGATGGCCCCACACGGAGCTTCACCGAAGGTCCAGTGGCAGGGTCCGCATGGTTACTCGGGTCCAGTCTGGTACACCCTCACACATTTCGTGGCCCACATCGGGAGCTCCGCCGAAGGCCTCTGTTGCAGGGTGGTTACTCAGGTCCATTCTGGCACAATCCTCACACGGTTCGTGGCCCCATTTGGAGTTGCACCGAATGTCCCAGTGACAGGGTCCGCATAGTGACTCGGGTCTGTTCTGGTACACCGGTCACACGTTTCGTGGCCCCATCGGAGTCTCCGCCGAAGGCCTCTGCGGCAGGATTCGCATGGTCACTCGGGTCTATTCTGGCAACCCCTCACACGTTTGATGGCCCCATACGCAGCTCCACCGAAGGCACCATCGGCAGGGTCCGCATGGTTACTCGGGTCTATTCTGGTACACCTCTCACACGTTTCGTGGCCCCCATCGGGAGTTCCGCTGAAGGCCTCTGTTGCAGGGTCCGCATGGCTCCGCCACTTTCAAGAGTTTGACTTGAGTTGCGTGAGTACGTGCCGATTATGACCTACGTTCTCCAGCGAAATTTTCAGGGGTATTGGGGACTTTCCAACGAGTTCTTGTGCATTGAGCGGTCGGGTTGATAGTTTCCACGCGTGTAGAATGGGTTGGGTTCTTTGCCAAGGTGATGCTTCTCCCGCTTTTTTCCTCTCTCTTCTGTCGTAGCCTCCCTTCTCTCCTCTTTTCTCATCGTCGTCTCTTTCTCTCTCTCTCTCTCTCTTTGTCCCTCTTTCTTAGACGCATATAAATATGTACATTATATTTTTGTTGAAGGACGCACGTATTGATGTTCTTGTATGCGTATATATATATATATATATATTGATAGATATGTATATAGCGTCTCCTCTCTCCTCTCCTCTCGCCTTTGTCTCGTCCCGTCTTGCCTCATCTTCCCACTCCGCTCTCCCCTCATCCCGCTTCCTAACCTCCCTCTCCCCCCCCATCCTCCCACCCGGCAGGAGAAAGAAGGCTACGAAATCCTCGACATTTTCGAGTGTACAAAGGGTGCGAGGTTTCCAGTGGCCAGGCGGCTTTGGCTGGAGAACGCTGAGGACCACACCAGCGCGGAGGCGGGCGCGGCAGGCGCGCGGGTGGCCGACTGTTTTCTTATTGCCACAGGAAGGTGCAGAGGAGGAGGAGGAGGAGGAGGAGGAGGAGGAGGAGGAGGAGGAGGAGGGGAGGAGGAGGGGGAGGAGGAGGAGAGGGGGAGGGGGAGAGGAGGAGGAGAGGAGGAGGGAGGAGGAGGAACTGTATGAGGAGGAGGATGAGGAGGAGGGGGGGCACTGAGGGGGGGGGGGTGGGGGGGCAGGAGGAAGGGTAGGATAGTGTATGGTTCTCGGGGGTGCATGGTGGCTCCGCAGGTGCCGACAGCTTGGATGAGAAGCGTATGCCAACACGAGCCTCCAAGCGAACGGTGTGCTCTCCCACGACGGGGATTGAGGAGTGTATCGCACGGGGCCCCCCAGCCTACGAAACGGACTCTTGGCATCGCACCCGCAGGTCATTCGGAACCAAACTCCCAAAGGAAGGGGGGTGCAGGGCTTTCGGGTTCTAGGTGGTTCTGGCAGGGGTTCGACACCTGCGTCGTGAAACAATCATCGCGGGTGGCTTTTTGGCCGTCTTCGGCCTCGAGGGACTCGGAGAAAAAAAAGGTGCAGGCATCTACGCTCGGAGCAAACACCAGGACATCGGAGTGCCGTGGAGGACGGTGGGGATGGGTGAGGGGATGGAGAGAGGGAGAAGGGGGGGGACCAGGAGGGGCGGTGGCCTGCCTCCGAGGAGGCTGGCCCAGAGGGGGGGGCGAGGGGAGGAGAGGGTGGAAGAAGCACTGATGGGGGAGGGAGGGCTGGTGGAGGGAGGGAGGAGGGAGGGAGGGGCGAGGAGTGAAGGTGGGAGGAGGAGGGGCGAGGAATGAAGGTTGATGGATGGAGGAGGGGCGAGGGTTGATGGATGGAGGAGGGTTGATGGATGGAGGAGGGAGGGTTGATGGATGGATGGAGGGTTGATGGATGGAGGGAGGGGCGAGGAAGGAAGGTGGGAGGTGGGAGGAGTGCTGGTTTGGCGTGCATAGGCCTCCTTCCATTCGCTTCGAGCTTCTTCTCCCCCCCCCTGGCCGCCGCCTGCCCGCCTATAGTCGCTGCGAAACACCTGCTGCTTCAAACAAGTATTCGGATTTCCCCTGCCTTTCGTCCCTCCCCTCCCAGGGGGAGGACGAGGACGAGACACAACTGCCTCTTCAAACGAGAACTCACACTTCCCCCCCTCGCCTGGGATAAGGACGAGGGTGAGGAGAAGAAGGACGAGGACCCCTCGCTTGGGATGATATCGGATCTGTGGAGAAGAAGAACCAGGAGGAGGATGGGGGAGGAGGAGGAGGAGGAGGAGGAGGAGGAGGAGGAGGAGGAGGAGGAGGAGGAGGAGGAGGAGGAGGAAGACGAGGACGAGGAGTACGAGGCGTAGCATGATGGAGGGCACATGCGAGAAGAGAGGGAGGATTACGTGGCGGAGGAGGAGAACGAGCAGAGGTAAACGGGCATGATGAGGCGGGAGGCTGGAGAATGCGAGGAGCACCACGAAGATGATGCGTCGGGAGGACGGAGGATGGGGACGTAGGGGTGCGGCAGGAGGGCGGAGGAGGCTGTGGTAGGACGGGGGACCAGGAGCAGGAGATGGACAGAGAGAGAGAGAGAGAGAGAGAGACAGCGAGAGAAAGAGAGACAGGTGGATGGGATGGATGCTTGGATGGATGGATGGGCGGATGGATGGACGGATGGGTACTTGGATGGACGGATGGACGGATGGAGAGAGAGAGAAAGAGAGAGAGAGAGAGCGAGAGAGAGAGAGAGAGAGAGAGAGCGAGAGAGAGAGAGAGAGAGAAAAATAAAGTAGCCTGACGAAAGACCCAACCATACGTAGTTGTGAATACCGCAATTGTGGATATATTCCTCGGTGGCGCCCCCGGGCCACGAAACGAGTGAGGGGTGTGCCGAAATGGGGGGGTGGAACCGCATGCGAGCGCAGCCACTGGGGCGTTCGGTGGAGCTCCCTATGGGGCCACGAAACGTGTGAGGGTGTGCGAGAATGGGGGGTGGAACCGCATGCGGCGCAGCCACTGGGGCGCTCGGTGGAGCTCCCTATGGGGCCACGAAACGTGTGAGGGGTGTGCCAGAATGGGGGGTGGAACCGCATGCGGGCGCAGCCACTGGGGCCTTCGGTGGAGCTCCCTATGGGGCCACGAAACGTGTGAGGGGTATGCCAGAATGGGGGGTGGAACCGCATGCGGGCGCAGCCACTGGGGCCTTCGGTGGAGCTCCCTATGGGGCCACGAAACGTGTGAGGGGTGTGCCAGAATGGGGGTGGAACCGCATGCGGGCGCAGCCACTGGGGCCTTCGGTGGAGCTCCCTATGGGGCCACGAAACGTGTGAGGGGTGTGCCAGAATGGGTGTGGGAGGGGGAGGAGGGGGGAGGAGGGGAGGAGGAGGAGAGGAGGAGGAGGAGAACGCGGGGCGACGTCTCTTCAAAACGAGGACCCAACACCACAGGATGGTTGGGAACAAACAAACAAATCAGCTGCGAGCAGGCGCCCGCCCCCCCCCCCCCCCCCCCGCGGAGGCGAGGCTGGCGCCCCCGCGGGCGGGCAGGGGAGCCCCCGGGCCGCCCCCGAGGAGGCGCCCATCGCGCTCCGTCGCCCGGGCGCGCCTCGCCGTCGTCGCCCCGCCCTCCTCGGCCGTCCTCGGCGGCCACCCCCTCGTCCTCTCCCTCCCTCCCTCCCTCCCTCTCCCCTCCCCCTCCCCCTCCCCCTCCTCCTCCTCAGGGAAACGAGTCCTGAGGGAAACGGGTCCATGGGGAGAAACGGGTCCTCAGGGAAACGGGTCCTGAGGTTTTTCGCCGTTCTTGACCTCCCCGGCCCCTCCACGGGCCCTGGGACCGTGAGACAACGAGTCGGGATGAAGAACTCGTCCTGGGGGAAGGCCCCAGGGTCCACGGACTCGTTTTCCTCAGGACCCGCTGCCCCCGTGCTAAATTGGGATGGCCGCTGGGGTTGCCAAGGCGGTAGTGGTGTGTGTGTGTGTGTGTGTGTGTGTGTGTGTGTGTGTTTGTTTGTTTGTTTGTTTGTTTGTTTGTTTGTTTGTTTGTTTGTTTGTGTGTGTGTGGGTAGACGTGGATGCGAAGGTGGGATATACCTGGCCTAACCTAGCTCATGAGTGGGTTACCATAGGCCCGATGTGGTTCGGGGGGGGGGGTGGGGGGGCGATCCAGGCTAAGTGGGCTCCGCCTAATTAGCGGAGTTATCTAACCCGCTTAAGCCATTTAGGGCACTTGTAACCCACCTAGAAACTAGATCAGGCCATAGGAGGAGGAGGAGGAGGAGGAGGAGGAGGAGGAGGAGGAGGAGGAGGAGGAGGAGGAGGAGGAGAATCGGTTGGGCGAGCGGCGGGGACCTTCTCTGTCCATCGCGCAGTCGCCACACGAGCCTCTGCACAGGAGCCGCCGCTGCACACGTGGCATAACCTCCAGAGCGGGACTGCGCCGCTGCTCGGGGGCACCCATCCCATGCCACGTTTTGGCGGGGGGCCTCGTCCGAGGCGGGCCTGTACGCGCGCGCCTGCCTTGGTGGGATGTCCACGGAGCTCGTCTTGCCAGGCCCGATCTCCCGGCCCCCCCTCCCCGATGCGGGGCCCCTGCGGGTGACGGGGCGCTGCGCCGCGCCGCCTGGGGCGGCTCCGCGACCACTCAGGCCGCCCTCGTGCCGCGCGCATGTTCGTCGGGTCGGGTCGCGCGGGAGGAGGTTGGCGGCGCGCACAGGGGATATTGGAATAATCATAAAACATAGTCAACACATATTCAAATATAATCAAAAGAGCACGAAAAAGCGTCCCCAGACTATTGTTTGACTTTTCTTGGGGGCAGGGGAAGTGGGCCAAGGCTTCTGGGAAGGGGGCGGCTTCTCAGAGGGCGCGGGCCAAGGGGGGGTGAGTGAACAGACTCCTCCTCCTCCTCCTCCTCCTCCTCCTCCTCCTCCTCCTCCTCCTCCTCCTCCTTCCTCCCCCCTCCTCCTCCCCCTCCTCCTCCTCCTCCTCCTGCTCCTCCTCCACTTCCTCCTTCTCCTCCGAAAGCCTCCAAGAAGGCCTCCCAGTCGAGCAGGCCCGGGGGGGGATGCGACGGCTCCCCGCGGCGCGGGCGCCTCCTGGGCTGGCCAGGGGAGCTGCGTCACGACACGCAGTGGCGACCCCTGCCAACATTGCAGCCTCCAGCCGCCATGCGCACTTCCTCGTGCGATGTGCGCCGTTGTTGTGGCGACGTTGGCTCCCGACTAAGAGCCACGCGCAATGCTGGCCTCGCAGACTGACGCACCGGCGCGAAAACACAACGCAGCACCACACAATCATTGACAGATCATGCATCCAGTTTGGGAACCATTCGGGCACAGTTCGGGCACCATAACTTGCTTCGGCCCGTCCGCGCGTGACAAGAAGCACCCCATGCTTGCCTCCAGGGTGCCCAGGGCTTCTTGGGCTTCGAGGGGCTTTGCCGTGGAAGGCGGCGGCGTTCCCGCTCCGAGAGAGAGTCCATGGACGCCCTGGGGTCTCGGGGCGGGCCTTCTCGTGGGAGGCTTCTCGTGCTCGTGCTCCCGCTGTGCCCCCCCCCGTCGTCCGACCCGCCTCCTCTTTTCCAGGCTGGGCCGTCTCTGCTGGGGTCCCGTCCTCCTCCTCGGGCCGCGGCATCCCCCTCCTCGTGCTCGTCCTGATGCCCTCCCTCCTCCCCCCGTTCCCTTCTTCCTTCTCCGCCTCGGCCTCGACCCCGCAGCCTGGCACGAGAGTGCCCCCCATTAGACGTGCTTTTCTCGTCCAGGCTCTTCTCCTCGACCTTGCTCGAGCAGCGAGAATCGGTGGTTCGGGATGTCTGTCGCGTTGATTGCTGGGCTCGCAGGGGCTTCCATGAGTCCTCCACGGGCCTCCGTGTAGTTCTGGGAGATCCGGGGGAGGGCGTTTGGCCTCTCTTCCTTACTTTTCCCCTCATTCCTCTTTCCTTTTCAAGCCAGTGTCCCTAAAGCTTTTCCAGCGCTGGCGACTTTATCTCAGCTGTCTCGGGCTGGTTTTTCAGATTCTGCCAGTTTTTCTAGCTATGATCACTTCTTCTTCCATGCGATTTCAACACTCGCTTGTTCCAGTTTCTCTCAGCCCTCCTTCCACGTCTCGAAGAAGAACACAGTATATGCCTAAGCTTTCGGAGGCCCGTGCGGATTTCTTTGGTCAGCGCCGTATCCCATTGGCGGCGCCTCCAGCGCCTCCTTTGGCGCGTTCCGCGCTCCAGGAAGGCGGGTCCTGCGAAGATCCAAGAAGTCCGCGTGGACCCTCGAACGCTGATGTTTATGTCGCTTGTTGTTCTCAGGATGGAAAAAGCACAGACACAATGAATCGTCGATTCCCCAGAGAAAATGCGAAAATGTGGGAAGTGTGTGGGGGGGGAAGACGAACATCCCCCAAATACGTGAAAAGATGGGGAATCCTGGAATTCGTGTATTTGTTTGTGCGTCCCTGGGCCCCTTCAGTTTTCTTCTGCCCTCCTCATCCTCCCTCTTGCTTCTCCGGGTCTTGTGTCTGGCGTGCCCAGCTGGGGGAGGCGTCGTGGCCGGTACTTACGCTGGGCAAGTGAACTCCTGCTACCCGCCTCCTCGTTCTCTCCTCCTCCTTGTTCCTCCTCATCCTCCCTTCTCGTTCGCCGCCTCGTGCCATACGTTCCCCCTCTCCTTCTCTTCCCTTGCATACTTCACTCACCCTGCTGCTTCCTCACCCTTCCCTCTCGTTCTCCTCGTTGTTCCTCTACTCTTGATGTGGCGTGGGTCATCATTTCGATTCCTCCTCCTTTCCTCCTCTCCTCCTTGTTTCCCCCCTGTCGTTTCTCCACTCTCTCCCCTGTATCTCCTCTCCTTCCCCCTCCTGTCCTGCTATTCCTCCTTCCTCCTTCTCCTTCCTCTCCACGGCCTCCGCCCTTCCCCTCCCTCCTCCTCCTTTCACGCTGCACAGACCTGGGTGCACAGCCTGTAGCGTTAAGTCGGGCGTGTCCCCCTACAGGAAGAATATTCAAAAATAGTTAAAAAATCGTATGGGGACGATTTTCCGATAATTTTTGCATATTTTTGGGCACTTTTTGGCCATTTTAATGTTTGGTCCAAAATCCGCCTGTAGGGGGACACGCCTGACCTACTTCTACGTTGCACTGACTCTGGGTGCAAAGCTTGTAGCGTGCATCAGTAGGATGAAACATAGGACAACGAGGCAGGCCTGACCCAGCAGCAGCAACAAAGTAGAGGGGGAAATCTGTGACATTGAGAAACAAGGAGTCGAGAACGCAGACTATGCTGCTTGGCCAATTAGCGCAAGGACCCCCCCGTGGGATGTAGAACTGTCCAAAGGGGGACGGTGCCCTCGACGAAGGTCTTGTGTCGCTCTCACCGCCATGACCTGCCCCCACCTCCCACCAAGTTCCGGAAGACCTTGCCGAGGGCAGGGAGACCGCTCCATGCCTCGCTGGCACGGTCAGGCTTGCTGCCTTACGCGTAGGGACGACCGCAAGCCAGGATCTCTTTTTTCCACCGCCACCACCACACATCACCTCCGAGCGTCCTCCTCCGAAGGTGGTCGAGACAGTGCCCTAACGGAGTGAGTACTTACCTGTAGCTCTAAGCGGCCACCATGAATTGTGGGCTGTAACTTAGAATACGCGGCTGGCTGGAACTTGTAAATTCAGGCATACATTGCATGGCAGTGGTACGAGGCTGCAGCAAGATATGTAGCTGTATTACTCAACCCGGGGACGGTCAACGTTGGGAATTGAACTTGAGTGCGAACCTTGGCGGCCAGCTAAACATGCTCTCCGAGTGATTTGGAGCCCCTTTCTTTAGCTCCCCCCCCAGTGCGCTCTGGGAACTGCCGCCGTGCGCGTTGGGATCCGCGTAGGTGTCCGCGTAGGAATCCGCGTAGGAGTCTCGTCCGTCGTCGTCGTCGTCGTCGTCGTCGTCGTCGTCGTCGTTGTCGTCTTCGTCCTCGTCGTTGTCGTCGCTTGTGGCTCGTCGCTCGTCGCTCACCGTCGTCGTGCGCGCGGATACGGCTGGAGCCTGTTTTTTATTCTGGGCCGATGACGGCAATCATTTGGGGGGGTGGAAGGGGGTCGATGACGTCACGTTTCGCGCTGGCGGCGTCTGGGAATCGGGTTGACCCAAAAGGGGGTCCAGCGACAAGGGGGTGGTGCAATAGATTTGGTGCAATAGATTTGTGGGGATGCAATACATTTGAGGTGTGCAATAAATTCCGGGGCGCAAATGTACTGCTAGACTTTCGCGTGCAAGAAATTACTTGCAATACAATGCAATACAAGTCTCTGGCGCAATACATTTGCAATCCAATTGCCCCAAATCTATTGCACCATCCCCTTTCAGCTGGACCCCTTTTTGGGTCACCCAAAGGGAATGCCTGGGAATGACGGAGGACGGGTAGCCCCAGCATGTAGGTGGCGATCTGCACCACAACGCCTGTGTACACCACAGTGCCTGCGTGCACCACAGCGCCTGTGTACACCACACCGCCTATGTACACCACAACAGCCGCGTGCAGCACAGCGTCAGTTTGTGCCACCGTGCCTGCGGGCACAACAGCTGTTGCGTACA